ACTGTATAGGCACTCAATTTATAAATATGAAAATGTTACATGTAAACATCAATGAATTTTTGCAGTGCTTTTCTCAGTTCTGCTTGTTATGTGCTGCCCTGCCCTCTCTTCATCAGTGACGCTTTCTCTCCTATTGGAAAAACATTTAATCCATTGATGCATGACCATTTTCTTCATGATATTATCCCCTTGGATTAACATGTCCTTGATTTGACTTCCTCTTTTGCCAAATTTAACAAGAAATTTAATGTTTGTTCTTTGCTCTAATTCAAGCTCCTACATTGTGATAACAGCACACAAAACCCACAACATAACGAACACCACTCAGCAAGACACTGCTACACATCAACACAAACACGGCTGGGAGAGACTGACATGCCAGGGGTATGAAGCCTTCTGGAGCTGTTTGCACAGTGCTGCCAATGTAAGGACGTGGTGGCAAGTTTGGGAATTTACTTGTCAGACTTCAGAGATATTAATATAAGTTACCAACAATATTATGTCAAATTCTTTTACTGTAATTTTGAGGATATTTACTGATAGGCACATTCATTTTGCTACCCATTTATAAGAAATTTGTGTGTTAGCTCATCGCCTCAGCAGCTAGGGTATCATCCACATTCACCACAGCTGACAGGTTTGAACCTGGCCCCAGACCTGCTAAACAACAGTGACAAGTACAACCAAAAAATAGCACCTATAGTTCCAGCTACTTGGGAGAGTGAGGCAAGAAAATTGCTTAAACCCAAGAGTTTGAGGTTGCTGTGAGCTATAACGCCATGGCCCACTACTGAGGGTGACATAATGAGACTCTGTGCCCCCCCAAAAAAAAGAAAAAAAAAGAAAAATTTGTGTATCAACTTATGTACTACTGAAAAAAATAAAACTAAACAAATATGTCTGTTGGCAAAGCAAGAAGTTGATATATACATTTTGCCATATATTTGTCAATATAGATAAGCCTTAGAAAATTATAAACATACTGGGGTCTCAAAGCAGTTTACTTACGGACACGGATGCATTTGGGAGGAGGGAGCCAGCCATTCTCTGTACACGTAATTTTGGTCTGCCTATTGGGAAGACTGTAGCCAGAATTGCAACTGACTGGTACAGATTCACCCTCTACACATGTTCTTGCATAATGTGGATATTGTCCATTTTCCAAATAATTAGAAGTACATTGTCCTAAAGACCACAAAAATGAGAAATAACAGTAAATGAGAAACATAAATTTGGTCAAAACAGCAATTTAAAATTAAAATATTTAAAGAAGACTGCATAAATATCCAACAATACTGTATAACTTAAGAAAAACTCAAGCTAATACCAAATATTTTTGTGAAGAGATCATTATTCAATATGTACCGATTGTACAGATATTCTTGTGAAGTCTCTGTATGTATTTTTCATGTGGTTTTCATGAAGAGCTCTTCATAATGGAAAAGTCATGTTTTAGTCCATTCCGAGACAACTCTTCTTTAGCCTTTTTTCTGTCATATAAGACTCAAATGTAGTCACTTAGAAGTTCTCGTCTCTCCATGTTTTGGAAGTTTTTCTCATACGTAGTTGTAAGGAAATTTACTTACTGCGGCATGGTTTTGCTGGTAACCATCCTTCTTGTGTGCAGTAAATGTACTCCCATTGATGTCATGAAGGAGTCACAAAATTATGGTGACAGTGATAGTAGAAACGTTTTCCAATAGCTACTGGAAAGTATGGTCTATATCTGCTCTCATCATGTAGTTGTCCATGTTTTATTTGTGGAAAATCACAAGGTTTCCCTTACAATAAAAAATTTAAAAAGGAGTGTAAGTAACATTTTATCTAATGAACAATCACATTAAAGGTTGGAATTTTTGACCAATCAGTTATATTCCTCTTATTAGCGTAGGTACACTGATTCCATTAAGGTTTCTAGGTCAAAAAGCAATTGAAGAACACAAACATGAAAATGAAAGTAAAATTTTGTCTTGTGAGTCATATGATGAATATATTTATACAAAGGCTCTCCAGGAAGAAAACTGTACAGACTTACTTACTGTATTCCCACTAAGTACATATACTCTGATCCTGGGTGAATATATGAGTCTACATGCTGTTTTCACCACTCAGCTCATGGCATTCATTTCCTTTTTCATCAGAAATAAGAGCTCTGGGGGACCTGGGCAAGATGGCCGACTGAAACCAGCTTTTGGCAGCGACTCCCATCCAGAGGGAGAAATAATGTCCAGAAATAACCCAATAAAGCAGAAGATCGGGGGCTGAGCTGGGATAGAGGATCGATAGGTTCATATCACCCCTGCTATGACACGTTGGGAATCCAGGGAAACAAATTTCAGGTACCAAACCCATCCCACAGTGGACAGAATCCCCACCCCCACCCCTCAAGAGAGCAGCTTGAGAGGAGTAGAGAACAGAGGACCTTTTCTTTCACCAAAGGGAAGAGAACACTCAGGGCAGGGACTTCCTCCACAAAGAGATACAGTTGCAAGCCCAGGCAGTCTTTTGCCTGGACCAAAAGTTGATTTGGTACTCTTCCTAACTTCCTGAACTCAAAATCCACCCCTACTCCCTCCTGCTGATCTGGAAGACTACCCTCTGCAAAATCTGGAGCATTGGTTAGATTTTTGCTAGGGGAGGGCACCTCATGAGCTGTGGGGCAGTTGCACTAAAACTATAACTTTAATAAAGATGAGGAGTCACAAGGGGAGAGAGATTTGCCCCATGTTGGAAAGAGCATAGTTCAGGACCCAAGCTACCACCACTGAGGACCACAGTCCACCAGGTCCCTGGCTTGGCAGCCCATTGTGGGCAGCTAGGTTCTTGGCCTGGCTCCTATGACCAACAGCCACAGCAGCAACTCCCACCCAGCTCCTGTGACCTGGGACTTGTGGCCTGCAGCAGGGCCTCCCATCCCACTCCTACAACCTATGTGGCTCACAGCCAGTAACTCAGCCCTTTACCTCCCCACCCAGTTCCTGAGGCCTACAGCCCATGGCCTGTGACTCCTACTGGGCTCCTGTGACCCCCAAGGCCCCAGAGACCCTCCAGCGTCCACCCAGCTCCTGCCCTGAGGCCAGAGGTAAGTGGCTCTGCCCTCACATTCCCCATCAGGCTCTTGTACCCTTGAGGCCAGTGACAATGCCCTCCTCTTCCTTGCTGGCTCCAGCAACCTGCACACAGCAGTACCCCACATCTATGGCACCACTCTGGACAGTGGCAGCACTGCCCCTGACCGTGGTGGTGGCTCCACGGTTCCTCCAACAGTGGTCAAATTGAGCTGCCAGTGGACCCCCGCTGCCTAGATGCTAAAGAACTTTTGAACTCTCCCACCAGATTGGTGTTTGTGTTGACCTGAACAATTGGTTTGATGCTCTTGACTTGGGCCCATCACCCAGGGACCCACCAAGGTTGTACCCTGGTTGTGTTGTTGTGGGAGTTTGGGATTCTCCTCTGCCAGTTGTCACCTGGTTGGGGGGGGGGCTTAGTTGCTTATATATCTCCACAGCTGAGATTTCAGCCCAAAGCCACTGACTCACTAAGGTTGTGCAGAGACTAGGTGAATACTGGTCAGCGCCATCTGGCCCCACCACACCAAGCAGGTCCCCAGAGTTTCAGGCTGTAGTTCTGAATGGGACCTTTGTAAAGGTCTAAGGGAAAAGCCGCAAACACCAGTCCTAGCTCTTTGGTAAAGGGCTGATCAATTACATCTCCAGGACCCCTCAATTCAAATTCACCTTGCCAACTTCTCTAGCCAAATGGTGAAAAATAATCATGGGGTAGAATCAGCAGCAGAACTCTGGCAACATGAAAAATCAGAGTAGATCAACTCCCCCAGGGAATGACAAAGGAGAGACAACAGAAGATCCCATTCATAAACAAATGGCTGAGATGTCAGAAATTGAATTCAGAATTTGGATTGCAAATAAGATTAACTGAATAGAAGTAAAGATGGAATTAGAAATTTAAGTAGCCATTCAAAAGTTGTCTCAATAATTCATTGAATTCAAAGACAAAATCACCAAAGATTTCGACATATTCAAGTAAGAACTTGCAGCCCTCAAAGATCTGAGAAATACAGTAGAATCTCTCAGTAACAGAATGGAGCAGGCAGAAGAAAGGATCTCTGACACTGAAGACAAAGTTTTTGAATGGTTCTAAAAGCTCAAAGAGAAAGAGAAGTGGAGAGCAAAAATGGATCTTTCCCTGAGAGAATTGTGAGACCACTCCAAAAAAACAAACAGTCACCTCATAGGAATCCCTAAAGAAGAGGATGATCCGAAAGGCACAGATACTCTACTCCAAGAGATAATTGAGAAGAACTTCCCAACCATGACAAGAGACACTGAAATTCAGAAAGCAGTTTCAGAATCCCAGCATAATTCAACCCAAATAAAACATTTTCTAGGCACATTGTAATTAACTTTACCAAAGTTAATATGAAGGAGAAAATCCTGCAAGCAGCCAAATGTAAGAAAATCATAACTTACAAGGAGGAGAATGTTAGAATAACTGCAGGTCTTTCTGTTGAAACTTTTCAAGCCAGAAGAGGATCGTCTCTGACCTTCACTCTCCTAAAACAAAACAACTTTCAGCCCAGGATCCTATAGCCAGCTAAATTGAACTTCATTGCTGATGGAGAAGTTAAATACTTTAACTACATACACATGTTGAAGAAATTCGCCATAACCAAACCAGCTCTTCAGGATATCCTCAGACTTATGGTCCATAATGACCAGCACAATGCTCTAGCACCAAAGTACACTCACTCTGAGATTCTTGACCAAAACCAATTTTGACAGTGATGAAAAAATTCAAAATGTCCACTGGACTTTCAAAAAACTTGACACCCAAAATACCACCAGGCTTATTAATACTCTCAATTAATGTGAATAACTTAAACTGTCCTCATAAGAGGCACAAATTGCCTGACTCTATACAAAAACTCAGGCCAGATATCTGCTTCATACAAGTATCTCATCTTACCTTAAAGGATAAATATAGACTCAGGGTGAAGGGATGGACATCTGTAATCCAGCAAATGGAAATCAGAAAAACAAAACTGAATATACATTGTTCTCATCAGCACATGGAACATCCTCCCAAACTGATCACATCTTAGGTCACAAGTCTAACCTCAGAAAATTTAAAAGTATAGAAATTATTCCTTGTATTTTCTCAGATCATCACACAATGAAAGTTGAACTTACCAATAACAAGTGTTTGCATACTCATATAAAAACATGGAAACTAAATAACCTTATGCTGAATGACAGCTGGATCATAGATGAGATTAAGAAGGAAATTGCCAAATTTTGGGAACAAAACAGTAATGAAGACACGAATTATCAAAACCTGTTGGATGGCAAAGGCAATCCTAAGAGAGAAATTTATAGCATTGCAAGCCTTCCTCAAGAGAAAAGAAAGAGAGGAAGTCAATAACTTAATGGGACATCTTAAGCTACTGGAAAAGGAAGAACATTCCAACCCCAAACCCAGCAGAAGAAGAGAAATAACTAAAATTAGAGCAGAATTAAGTGAAATTGAAAACAAAAGAATTATTCAAAAGATCAATGAATCAAAAAGTTATTTTTTTGAAAAATTCAAGAAAATTGATAAACCTCAAGTTCTTGGGCTCAAGCAATCTTCGTACTTCTGTTTTTCTATTTGCCATAGTGATGGGGTCTCATTATTGCTCAGGCTAGTCTCAAACCAGTGAGCTCAAGCAGTTCACCTGCCTTGGCCTCTCAAAGTGCTAGGATTATAGACATGAGCTACCACGCCCAGTAGGTGGACTAATTTTGACATATATGTTAAGTGCTATATTGTTCCTTGTAGTACCAGGTTTATATAGAATATTTTTCAAAAATTTAACTTTGCATGAGATTATTTAATGATAATCTAGTGCTTTAATACCAAATAGCATTAGGCTTTTGCCATGAAATGTGATTCTATTTCATTAAACCACATATGACATGTTAAAAAGAATTTAAAATAATTTCAACACATATACATAAGCACATCAAATATTCTTTATCATGTTCCTCATATTTATTAAATTCAGTGATCCAGTTTCTGTTTTGTGTAATTAGAAAAATTTCCCAAGTAGTTTCTACATACGTATGTGGATTATAACCTTTGAATCTTTGTATATACTAACATCTTCTTTAACAAAGACTACTGAGTAATAGTTCTGTAGCTTCTTGTCTGACACACTATTTCTATTACATTGAACAATTCTACCCCCACTGAATTCAAATTTCTAATGTTGACCTTAAAATGTTTGTTTAGTCTCATTTATTTTAAGTAACATTCTACATTATTCTCCAATGCTTTTAAAAGATTTAGATAGTTTTCTATTTACCATGGGATTGTACAAATTTCATCATCATCTATCAAGTTGTGTATTATTTTCTGCATTGGGCAAGCTTCAATCTTTGGATTCACAGGAATTATGTCTCAATTAAATTAAAAGAACTCAATTAAAATCCCCATTAAACCATAGAGCAGAGACATAAAATCTAGTGGTAGATTTCAAAACAAGTATTATTCACCTTATTATGGCGTTGCACAGAGTACATGTATTGATATATAAAGAAGAAGGCAGAATTAAAAGTATTTTTAGTATCACTTAAGAGTCTTAAACTCCTTCACTGTTCTCCCTCATTTGGGCACTTTTCAATCTGTCCTTACCCCTTTTACAAGTGGTTCCTGAGAGCAAATATAATTTTCCACATGGGGTCACATCAGCACTGAGCATGGCAGGATTTAGGGCATCTGCATTCTATTTTCACACTTCTACACTTCTACCAAGGTAAGTTGTAGTATCACAGCAATTACAGTGGTTCCATCGTAATGCTGACTCAAGTTGATCTTAAACATTCATTAAAATATTCACAGATTTTTTAATTGTTGCTAACATGTCTGTACTGTAATTTCCTTGACACAAATCCAGATTTTTTAGCAATCACCAGTAAATTTTATCTTAATAGATTCAGCCTAGCAATAAGAGTCTCTTTGAATGATGAACCTTTCCTAATGCAGATTCAGTATTATCATTCCCCGATATCATTCCAATAGTGTACTGCATTTCCTTTGAACCATTAATCTATTGAGATAGAAAAAAAGAAATATGATTGTAGAGATGGGAAAAAAACATGAAAAAGGGAAAAGAAAGCATGACAGAAATAAAATACTCTGTTACCTTAAACAGTATTTTACTACATGTGATGGTTGTAGGAAATTGGACAAGTATTCAGCACCCCACCTTCCAAAGAGTGGAGTCAATTTCTCGCCTGTTGAGTATGTGCTGGGCTTAGTGTCTCACTGTAAAGACTAGAGATGGCTGAAGTAACATTATGTGTGTAGATAACAAATGGTATCCACAAGGCTTCCTTTACTCTCAGATATGTAGCTCTGGAGAGAATTAGCTGCCATCCCATCAATCCATGTGGTAAGAAACTGAGGCTTTCTGACAACAGCCATATGGTTGAACCATGTAGGAGCAGATATTTCAGCCCAGTTAAGCCTTCTGATGACTGGAGCCTGGGCCAGACTCCTGATTACAACACAAGGAGACAGTCTGATTGCCAGATACCTATTTAAGCCCCTCTCAAATTCCTAACCCATAAAAACTGTAATATAATAAAGTTTTGTTGTTTTAAGCAAATATGTTTTCAGGCAAACTTGTTACTTCAAACTATTAGTCAATATACTATGTGTTAAATGGCACTATTTTACACAGTATTTGATATCAGATATTGTAGGAATTTATCAACTAGAGAACACATTAACACACCACATATTTAATTTAGAGTAGTAAAAATTTGAGTTTTTAGTTTACTGCACTGTTTTTTACTCTGTTTAAAATTGGTTACTTTCAAAAGTGAAGACTTCTTCTAAAGTCTCTATTTATACACACAAGACAAATACTATGTTCCTATTTTTAAGTGTTTAAGAGAAAACAATTTAAGAATTAAGAAGGTAGTCAAGATGCCAGGCACAGTGGCTGGCGGCTCACGCCTATAATCCTAGCACTTTGGGAGGCCAAGGCATGTGGATTGCTTGAGCTCACTGGTTCAAGACTAGCCTGAGCAAGAGGGAGATCCCATCTCTAAAAATAGCCCGGCTTGTGGTGGGTACCTGTAGAACCCGGTACTTGGGAGGCTGAGGTAAGAGAATACTTGAGCCCATGAATTTGAGATTGCTATGAGTGATGACACCATGGCACTCTACCCAGGATGACAAAGTGAAAAAAAAAAAAAGTGATTCAAGATATGAATGGAACTTACAGGTGCATCTTGGAGGAGGTGACCAGCCACTTCTTGTGCATGTTGCTATATTTACACGAGTTGCAGGGTGAAATCTGTTTTTACACTTATACATGATATTGTCTCCAATTCTGTGTTTAATCCTCACAGGTGAGAAGACACCATTGGGAATATTGGGAGGATAACAGGACTGCTCTGAAAAGTAATATAGTATGTAGATAATGTGGTAATCACTATTTATTAAAATTAGTCAAGTATACAAAAATTGAAATGTGGATGCTACTTAATTGTCCTTAGCATAGTATAAAATGTTATTAAAGAGAACACAACATATCATTTCTACTAGTCCCACATATTTTCCTTCACTATCTTTCTTATGTGATAAATTTGTACCTCCTGGGCTCTTAATCCCCCCTTTTATTAAGTTGTTTCATATTTCATGAAATTCCACGTCTGGCAATGACCATATCATATTTAATTTCAAGTGCTCCTTCAACTTTCTTCCATTTCCTTCATTTCTGTTGTAGTCATAAGAAGTGTTTATGAATGTTCAGGATGTCTTCCTTCCAGACAATTGATAGGATACATATATCTTCTTTTTGAAGTAAATGTGGCCATATGATTGAATAGACCATAATAAAAGCGGAGGTAATATTTTTAGGGAAGAAAGCTTAAATGCCATTTATTGGGGACAGGAGGGGGCAAAATGGATGAGTAGAGGCCACTTTAGTCAGAAGTTCTGTCCAGAAGGAGGAAAATTGGATTGAAGAGAACTGGAAGTAGTTGAAAGGGGAGGAGGGTAGATTACAAGGAGAAGAAATCAAGGTGCTCAGCCACCCCATCAAGACAAATTGCAAGGATGAAGATGAGAGAGAAGAAGAAAGATAAGAGAGGGCAGTTATGCCACAGTCTGGATGAACCCAGAGCAGAATAGAAGGTAAGAGAGACCCTACTCATACCTGGTGGGCTCTCCACCAGCATCAAGACCCAGGACTTCTCACCCCCATGTGAGAGAGTGCCAAAAAGGATAATTAGTCCCAGTTTGCCTGCCTTTAGGAATGTTCTCCTCTAAATCCCCATCCTGCCTGGTGGAATATTAAGCAATTTTGGCTCCACATGCCTGCTAGTCACTGTCTATCCCCCTTATTTCTTTGGTTGCTCAACAGACTGTCCCCTGGGGTCTTGCTTCACAGCAGGATGAATCAGAGTGCTAGCCAGACTCAGCCTGGGGGAACTCCCCAACCCCCAGGCACTAAAATGGCTAAGGAACTTTGATCTCTACCCAGTGTCTATATCAACTGGGAAGGGTTACAGAGGCTACTTGCTTTGATATTGGCAACTGTGAGGATCTTTAACTGACCTGGGAGAACAATGAGACAGTCTCTGCCTCCTCTCTGGCGATGTGTCTGGCAGCATTGCTTAGGGACCAGTGTATTATGTGGCCTGGGTGTGCCCTGCCTCTCCTTCTTTCCAGCACCTCCCCCCCACCCCCGGCCCAGCAACTGTGGCTCAACCACAGTAACTTTGGCAAAGTAGGGGTCCCTCTTGAGTCTTCTTCCTCTGGGGAATTTTCCCTGCCCTCTTCAATGGCTCTGTTCAGTATCTGTTCTCATTGGGCCCTTTCAGGAGGTTCAGCCCCTTTGTGGACTTGGAGAGGATGATCTAGCTCTGGGAAAGTCCAGGAAACAAGTAGAATATCCCCCTCCCTCAACTACATGTGAAAGCCCCCACTTTTGGAAAATATTGCAGCCAGGACTTCAATGAAAACCATAGCTTTCTGACTTTGGTTGCATGCTAAATTGGAACTCTGGCTGGAATAGTTTGGCGTGCCTGTCCCCCAACCCCAAGTGAAAATCATTCCTTTTCAAATTTGTTGTGACAGCAGCTATGCAAACCAGCAGGTTTTTGAACTTGTTGAAGCAGTAACAGTCCAGGTTGCTAGGTGGCGAATTTGTTTAAGTGGGAACAGTTCGGTTTGCTAGGTGGGACTATACCCAGTGTAGGAGCATCACCTGTAGGTCATGCCTCCATCCCCACTGCACCCCGCCTGGAGAAAGCAAGGCCAGTTTTCTGAAATCCTCACATGCTGCAACCCCAAAAGAGACCTTTGGGAGGGTGTATGTGGGAAAGGCCACCAGTATAACCAACAGCCCATTTGAGCAGTCAGTGGTGAAGAGGAGTGCCACACTCCATATCCTGGACCTCTCTGGATATGATTTAAGCCCACCAGTTTTCATTTTCAGACAGATCTCAAAAGTGTTGCCTAAGGGACCCCAATAAGCTTATCTCTCAGTTAAAAGTTAGAGACAAACTAACACTCCATCTTTAAAAGTAAAATTAATATGCAAATAAACTGAAAATGCACACAAGCAAGAATTAGCAGAAGCACCCTGGCAACATGGAAAATCAGAACTGGTCAACACCCTCAAGAGATTACAAGAGAGATACAATTAGAAATACATCCATAGAGAAATTGTTGAAATGGCAGAAACAGAATTCAGAATATGGACAGCACATAAAGAGAATGGAATTGACAAGAAGATGGAAAAAGAATTGCAAAAGGAATGCCAAAAACTGTCTCAAGAAATCAGTGAAAGTATAGACAAAATCTCCAAAGATCTGGACATCATTAGGGAGAACATAGCAGAGTTTAAGGAATTGAAGGAGACTTTCAAGTTCAAAAATGCCATAGAGAGATTCAGCAATAGAGTAGAACATGGAGAAGAAAGAATCTCAGAAATTGAAGTCAAGTCTTCTGAACTAACCTAATCATTCAAGGAGACAGAAAAAAAGAATAAAAGCAGAAAATTCTCTAAGCAAAATATGGGACTATACCAAATGCACAAATATTCAAGTAATAGGGATTCCTGAAGAAGAGAGCCGAAAAATATGGAAACTCTACTTCAAGACATCATGGTGGAGAATTTCTCAAGCATTGTGAGAGTCCCAGAAATTCAGATACAAGACAGTATCAGAACCCCTGCATGGCTCCATTCAACAAAGCGTTTTCTAGACACACTGTAATTAATTTGACCAAAGTGAAACTGAAAGAAGAAATTCTGCATGAAGCCAGTCATAAGCTATTTCTTATCTGTAAAGGGAAAAATACCAGAACAACAGCAGAATTTTCAGCTGAAATTTTTCAACCCAGGAGAAGGTAGTCATCTAACTTTCTTAAACAAAACAATTTTCAGCCTGGAATTTTGTATTCTGCTAATCTAAGTTGTCTTATTTGATGGAAAAATAAAATCATTTACTGACATGCAAACTTTGAGGAATTCTGCCACAATAAGACCAGCTATGCAGTTTGTACTCAGACCTTTTCTTCACACTGATGATCACAAAGGACCACCAGAAAACTAGAAATAAACAGAGTGTAAGGAATGAAGACTAGCTTCCATATGGTATAAGGTAACACCATAAAGTAAGCAGGCACACCTTCAAATAATTAAACAGAACTCCACCATATTTATCAATTCTCTCATTGAATTGCAAACTGAATAGGTACAGGCTGCCTGAATGGATTTTTAAAAAGCACAAACCAAATATAGTTTATATTTAGGAAACACACATGACCTCTAAGGACAAAACAAGACTGAAGTATTGGGAGTCAAAGTTTCAGGCAAATGGAAATCAGAAACAAGCAGGTGTTGCAATCTTATATGCAGATACAATTGGATTTAACCAATAAAAATAAAGAAAGACAAAGATGGGTACTATGGACTGGTCAAGGTAAAAATACAACAAGAAGACATTTCAATCCTAAATATCCATGCACCCAATGTAAACACTGCCAGATATAGAAGACAAACCCTAACCTACCTTAACAATATGATGTAGCAGAATCATAGTAGCTGGGGATTTCAGCACCCTTCAGACAGAACTAGACAGATACTCCAAGCAGAAACTAAACAAACCAAAAATAAAGGACTTATTTCAACTTTAGAACAAAAGGGCTTAGCACTCGTATACAGAACATTCCATAACAATAAAATTGAGTGAACATTCTTCTCATCAGCTCATGGATGATCCTTCAAAATTGATCATATCTTTGAGCACAAATTAAATCCCAAGAAATTTAAGAAAATAAAAATTAGGTGGCACCTGTGGCTCAAAGGAGTAGCGCACCAGCCCCATATGCCAGAGGTGGTGGGTTCAAACCCCGCCCCAGCCAAAAAAAAGAAAGAAGGAAGGAAGGAAGGAAGGAAAGAAAGAAAGAAAGAAAGAAAGAAAGAAAGAAAGAAAGAAAGAAAGAAAGAAAGAAAGAAAGAAATTATAACTTGTATCTTTTAGGACCACAATAGCATAAAAGTGGAATTCAACTCCAACAAAAATGTCTATCCTCACATAAAATCATGGGAACTAGGAAACCTTAGGTCAGAATTAAATAAAATTGAGAACATAAGCATCATTCAGAAGATCAGGAAAACAAAAAAATTGGTTCTTTGAAGAGACTAATAAAATCAGTAAACTATTGTCCAGATTAACTAGAACCAGAAAAGTGAGATCTCTAATAACTTAAATCAGAGTGAAAAATGGTTAATAACAGATACCACTGAGATACAAAAGATCATCACTGATTACTACAAAAAAAAATTATGGCTGGAAATTTTAAAATGTGGAAAAAATGAAAACCAACACCTCCATAAACGCAACCACAAAGAATTAGAAATTGAACAGAACGTTCTTGAGTGCTTAAGTTGAAACAATAATAAAGTCTTCCAAAAAAAAAAAAAAAAAGATCCTAGAATATGGTTTTACACCATAATTCTAACAAACTTTCAAAGAGGTGCTAACTCATACTATATTGCAGAACATATTGCAAAACGTAGAGAAGGAAGCCTCCCTAACACATTCTAACCAGCCATGCAGTGTCATCTGATCTCCATAAACAAAATGAAAGCATACACTGGGGAAAACAATCCCTATTTAATACATAGTGCTGGGATAATTGATTAGTACATGTATACTGAAATTAGACATACACCTCTCACCACTTACAAAACTTGAGTTACTCTGGATAGAAGATTTAAATTTAAGACATGAAATGATAAAAATCTTATAAGATTACTTAGAGAACATTTCCTGGATCTGCTTTAATAAATTCTGCTTATACATGAATACAAGTATATATAAATATAAAATATTAATGAAGGAAAAAGTCATCAAAAAAATACAGCCAAGATATAATCACAAAATCTGATGAATATTTCCTACATACTTATATATGTAGGTATGTATGTACACCTAAGGAATAAACTGGAAAAATTATTTTCAATTATTATTGTCTTTTAAATTATATAAATATGATTGTATTTTTCTGCTAGAGGTGCCACAAGAAAGTACCACAGATTAGGTACAAATTAATTTTCTCACAATTTTGGAGGCTAAAAGTCTAAAATCAAGCTGTCAGCATCCTCTGTTTCTTCTGCGGCCTCTTTCATTGTCATATAAATAGTCAGATTTTCCCTGTTCCTTTACATGGTGTTCCCTCTGTATGTCTGTGTCTTATTTCCTCTTATACAGAAACAAGTTGTAATGGATTAGGACCCACCTCAGTTATCTCCCTTTCACTTAATTACCTCTTTAATGACCTTATCTCCAAATACAGTCACATTATGAGGTCCTAGGAGAGGGACTTTTCATTTGAATTTTGGAGGAACACAGTTCAGCCAATGCTGCTGAAAGCACTCAGATGTTTCTCCACAAAAGTGTTATTCCACTAAATGATTGCTTTCTCCTTTCAGAAATGCAGTGCAACCCAAATTTATAAAAAAAATTGGTGTAAACCTTACTTTTAGAAAGAGTTCATTGAAGGAGACTATTTTTCAAGTAGAATGTCAGCTAAAGATTTGTCTTTTTTTTTAGCAAGTCACGGTGATATGTTTATCAAACTCAAGCCATTATGTCCTATAGTACTATTTTTCTGTTTTATTTCTACCTTAATCTATTTCTTGTTTGCAAAAAAATGACCCCATAGCAGTTCAGCTAATGAAGGAGTTAAGTGGGAAAAATTCCTTTTTCTTCATTTGTGTACAGATAAAGGTTGATATGGCACAACATCAAATAAAGTGTTAGGTAACATTGTAAAATCAAAGGCACTTTACCTACAATAAAATTAGCTGATACATTTGAGAGGAATGGCTGGGGGAAATGACCGTTTTGTAAATTGATATTGGGCTTTCCAATATTACCCCTCATTATACTTTTCAAAATGCAGGGAAGTTTAAGAACATTACAAAACTTGTATTCTTTATCGATGGCCACACAACTTTGAACATCCATAATTTTTGCTCCATGTGCTTCCACTGCTAACGTTATAAGATATAATTCTTTAATGCACATTCAAAAAGATACTTAATATACAATGTATATTACTTATATATTACTATTACTATTAATATTAATTAATATTAATATATATTACTATAAGGTGATAAAAAGTCAGTGGACAATGTCATACCACAGATAGCTATGAATATTATTTGTGCATTTACTTACTGAACATTTGTTAAGTAAGTTTACTTACTGAACATTTGTTAAAGAACTCAGAAATGCAAATTAAGATTCTATGTTATTCTAGTGGAAATTAAGAATATATACTATTTTTTTCTTTAAATAAATAGTCCCAAATATGTGGTGGCAATTTGTTAAAAAATTAAATATTTTTAATATTTATTAGCTTGAACAGCTAATAAATATTAATTAGCTTGAACAGCTTTTCAAGGTATGCTTGAAATAGAAGAAAATGCTTGTACAGTATTTAAAACATATAATCTAATGTTTTGATATATGAATTAATATCACCTGTAAAATTATGAAATGATTTAGCACTGTCTAAAGTTCCTTTGTATTACAAATAAGAAACCATCAAAAGTTTTGACTTTAGACTCTATCTTTTCTTGTGAAATATTTCCCAGGTAAAGTTTCATGAGGCCATTCCTGTATCTCCAGATGCAGTATTAAGTACCTTAATACTGTAAACTCAGAAAACAAAATATATATATATATATTTATTTTAATTTTTCTTCATGCTAACATGAAATAATTTTTTATAAACTTATTTTTCATGATAATCTCATAATTTATTCTATTCCTACTACTTGAATTCATCAAAATTATTGACACATGAAGTTACCTATGACACAGAATTACATTTACAAGAGAAGCTGAGTGTTCAGATCTGTTTTCAACTTACCTTGTCCACTGACCCAGGAAATCAACAAGGTGAGACAGATATTGCTTAGTAGCAGCATGTTTGATATCCCCAGTAGACCCAGTTGTGACGTTGGGAACTGAAATTTGTTTCATTAGTAGTTTTCAGGTGTTACTGATTTTAAGCACACTTCATGGAGGGAGTGGTTTGACGTCCTTTAGTAAATACCAAAGTTCGAAGAGTTTTGTAATAATTCCTGTTAGGTGTTTCACAATTATTTCTGCTAGATTCACTCCCTGATAAGTATTTGTGTATCTTTCATTAGGTAAAGTAATGGAATGGATCCAAAAATAATATAAATCACCACTTTTTAAATTAAACTCTTAAGAATAGGTGAATTTTTTCACAATTAGATGGATCACAAATGAACAACTCAGAGTTCATGTCCTTGTACTTTTTTTTATTGTATAAACTTTTTTTTATTAAATGATAACTATGTACATTAATGTAATTCTGGGGTACAGTGTGGTGTTTTTATATACAATTTGAAATATTTTCATCAAACTGGTTAACATAGCCTTCATGTCATTTTCTTAGTTATTGTGTTCAGATGTTCATATTCTACTCTGAGAAAGACTCACTTGTACCCTTGTAAGATAAACCAGAGAAGTGATCTCTCCAATCACCCTCCCTTTCCCCCCTCCCCCTCCCCATATTCTTAGGCTGTTATTAGGTTATAGATTTCATATGAAAGCTATAAATTAATTTCATAATAGGGCTATGTACATTGGATACTTTTTATTCCATTCCTGTGACACTTTGCTAAAAATAACAATTTCCAGCTCCATCCATGTGAACATGAAGGACC